AATTAAGGAAGGGATAGTCGAGAAATCAGATAGTCCCTGGTCAGCTCTCATCGTGTTAGTCCAGAAGAAGGATGGGGCCCAACATTGGTTTGTGGACTTCAGGGCTCTTAACAGTATAACCAAAAAAGGACTCAACAAGCAAGCAGATGCATAACAGACAAAACACAGGCTCACACATAACAAATGTTTAATACAGTATAAAACAATAAACAACAGGACAAGTGATTGTGTGTACTTTAGAGAAAAAGGTGTAGGGCAAGGAAGATGTAATAAAAACTAATAAAATAACCATTGTGTGTGTGAGTAAAATTTTAATTGCAACTGAAAACTGACAACATAGGCAAAATGAAAACAACCCAAATTTAAGCTAAATACATCACAGTAAAATGCAATATAAAACTTAGATAACCTTTATCAAATTCTAGTAACTTGATTTGCACTGCAATTAATTCACTTCAAAAATATCTTTACACTGTAAGAGGAGCAAATCCTACACTTTAAACAGTTTAATGCTTACCATGAAAGAATTCTATACTATTTGCTTATGGCAAAAATAAACAAATGTGAGTCACACTCAAAGCCAGATAAGCTCTCACTCTAGAATGTAAATGAAAGCTCAGCATAAATGGAAGGGTCTTTGCTGAAGACTTATGGAAATCATAAAGCACAAAGGATCACTATTTAAGAGCTCTTGTTGAAAGTGAAATGAAAACTAAACCCAAACCTGAGCTCTTTATCATAAACATGAACTCAAATTTTTCATTCAGCCTTGTCTTTCTAGCACACAAAAGCTTGTGATTTGCAGTAGGTTCCTCAGTTATCTAGTGGGAGATATACAGACTAAAAGTTTGACTACCTGCAGCTATTCTGATTGGCTTTTTAACTAAATGCTGCAATATTCATGAAAAAAAAAAACAATCAATCTGCATCTGATACACAACTCTGCTGTTAGTTAGAGAGAATGAAAATCAGCAATTTGCTTGAGTGTGTTGCTGCATTAAAACAGTGAACCATAAAAACTGTTATTTTAAAAGAGCTACTTTTTTAACTAATGGAGTGGAAAACATATACTAAATTCTTATACTACATAAACACGAGGCTTGAAATGACTAATTTAATCCTATTCCACCTGATTTTATACAGGTGCTGAAGCACAAATATCTAAGATTATATAATATCTATGGAGTTTTAGTCTTTTTTTTTTATACAGTAGACCAACTGTTTAATGATTATATGTGTCTGTTGTTGAGGCTTATAATTTTCAAACCTATTTTTCCATCTATATATTATGTTGAGTAATATATGATTGTGAGTAAATAGGTAAAAATTATTAGAGTACATAAAGAAATATATTTGAAATCTACTTTAGATGATTTTGAAAAATTTTGTATCTGATCTGATGATAAATTTGGATTTCTAAAGTTTCTTATTGTTGGGTATCTGCTTGTTTGTTAATTTCCGGTAGAAATTCCTTCCTAAGAACTTCAGCGATACAAGTCATTTCTTGATTAAAACTAGTTTATTCTTTCTCGATACAAATTTGTAATACACAGAATTTCCACAGTCACTTTAAGCTTTATAACACACGCTATAAATCACAGTGATTCACAAGCTCGATAACTTCACTCTATGCGATGACTGCAAAACACACAAAATTTATGGCTCAACGTCACTACTGTTTGGTTGACTTAATTATCTATCTCTCCAATCCCACTGGTTTTTCTCACCAGGCTTGTATACTGTTGCGTCAGCGAGGTCACGTGACTAGTATCACGCCACGTCCTTCTCGAACCTTCGTGAATTATCAGGAGACTACTAGATTGGGGGTAGTTTGGTATATATAAGAGGGTCACAACGTGATGGGACATTGTGTAATTGAACTGAGTGTTGTCGAGCACGAGCACGTGAGACATTCTAGCATTTGTTATAGAGCGACTGTTGAAATTAAGTGTATCGGTAAAGTTGTTTTCGGAAAGAATAAACCAGTTTTATTTAAGAAAGGACTTGTGTCGCTAAAGTTTCGTTGGAATGAATTTACGGAAAATTAACTAACGAACAGAGACGTAACAATACTAAAAAGAGGGTGTCTCGAATGCGCTCGAGCCTTAATATTCATTTGAGAAATTTCATGCATGCTACCAATACCAAACGCACGAGCAGCGTCACATGACTTCCACTGTTGTAATATTATTATAACATTTTACAAAATTTAATCAAGCAGTCATTATTTTATACTTTTGTGCTAGATACAACAATAATGAATAAAACATATATATTAAGATCTTTCATTGCATATTTTTGTGATTTTAGCTTTACTAATTAATTTTTTTTCTCTTAAAAGTGCACTTGAACAACTATAATTGTGAGTCATTTAATGATTAAAATTTCTTAGTAAATCAGATACATATGAGAAAAATAATTATTTATGAACATTTTGTGATTGTTAGTGCTTGTACAGCATCTATACCTAATTATTTATTTGTTACTAGGTAGAACAAATGCTAGAATTTAGGAGTTTAATAGTCATAAAACTGTAATGCCAATCTATTTGCAATAGCACATCATACCAGAATAGAAGAACACACAATAAACTTGAATAATATGAGAATAATGGGATATTAAGCATGCACAAGAAGAAAAAAGATAATAGAAAGCTTCTATATTCATCTAAGTACCAATGCATTGAAGTTACAAAGCCTGGATACCCCTATTAAAACACAGATTGTCACCTGATTTTGGTTTTATTTGGTAATTCCCAAGATGGTCTTTCAATCAAAGATATTAACATTGAAATTCAGGTTACTACCACAATAAACACACAAAGTAAGTCTCGTAATTGGAACTGGATTAGCAGCCTAAATGTAGGATTTAGGGCAATTATTATTTAGAGATAAAAAATAATAAACTATTAAAAATGACATTTAAGTGACTGTTTAGGCTATAAACCATCAACAGATTGATATCAGATCACCACAACCCTTCTGTTAGTACTTGGTGTAACATCTTTTGAACATTTGAAAAAATTATTTTGTTTTGTTCCTTTCAGGGTATTGTCATAGGACCTGGTCTTTGATAGAGGATCTGAAGAAAGCTTTGATTGAAATGGATGCATTGCAGCTAGTAAACACAGTGATGAAAGAGACTGAGTATTGTTTTTTAAAAAGTATAGAACAGTATCAAAATATGTGAGTTTCCTTATTATCATATTAAAATCTCATATTATATATTTTATAGTAAATTTTCATGTTATGAATAGTTGAATGGTTTAAGCAACATTTTTGTTTGTTTTTTAGCACAAAGATACATTATAGGCTGTCTGTGTTCTGACCATTGCTTGTAATCAAACCCCAGATCTTTTAGCATACATACAAGTCTAAACTCCAAACTTATTGCCAACCCACTAAAGGACTGTGGTTAAGAAATAAAATAACAGGCAATATTCATGATTTTAAAAATTAAGTAAGAACAGTTATTGTTTAAAATTTTGCCAACATATAAATTAGATTTCAATATGAACTTGAACTTATGAATAAATCTAAAAACTTCCCAGATATGTAAAGAAAAAGTATTGTTACGTCTCTAGTCGTTTGTTAATTTTCCGTAAAAATTCTTCCCGAAGAATCTTTAGCGATGCAGGTCCTTTCTTAAATAAAACAAGTTTACTTTTTCCTGGATACAACTTTGCAATGCACTTAATTTCCACAGTCACTTTAAACACACGCTATAATTCACAAGGATTCACGTTCTTACTTACGGTCACTACTGCGCTTGACTGAATTTTCCATCTCCATCTCTGCTTGTCTGCAATTCAATTCCGATTGATTAGTCTCATGTTAAATGGCGCACTTATGTGCAGGAATAGAGGGCGCCTAGCACATACTGGATTATTCATGATGTTCCCCGATCCTTCGAGAATATCATGACGTGTTACCAGAGTCACGTGACTACCGCTGTCATAACAGTATTCAAGAATAGTATGAATGATTAATTTTAGGAAATGAAAAATAACAGAAATATATATATATATATACACTTGGTAAACCTTTATATGCACATCCATTTCATTTCTTGTTAATATACACATGAGGTATGTCTATAAGAATTCCTTGTTGTTTATAAATACAAATGTCCTCTCTGCTTGAAAGGCTATGTTGGGCCCACTACCAAATTTATTCAGCAAAGGATTTTAAAACACCATACTTCTTTCATCTATAACAATTCATGTTTTCCTACATGCTATTGAATGTTGCTGTAAAATTAAATTTGAACAATTTGATATTCTATTTAAGGCAGCAGATGAAAGAACTCTGGCTACTTATACTTCCCAACATGTAATAAATGTCATGGAGAATTTTTTCAATATGTTAGTTACGTGAAGAATATTAAGATATAAAATAATTCTATTAAAAGGTAGAACATAATCCAGAACTCTTTTATTTTTAGTTGATGTGAGAAAAGATACATTTTCAAATTCCTGTGGTAATTTTTGTTAGCATGACTACCTTAATTTATTGTAACAGGCTGGCTGTGTGTCTAGTCATTGGAGCTTTGACTGTACGGCCAGTCACACCAAATTTATATTAAACTGAAGTTGCGAGTGGAGCACCCAAATCACTAACTCAAGAAAGTTTACAGTTAGAATAAAGAAGTGACTCTGAGACTGAAATTCAAAAACAACAACACTTTTTAATACACTATATCAAGATACATGGCTGCATTGAAATTACTGAAGGTATCTTGGAACATATTAATATCAAAACTATCAAAGTCATCAATTTGTCCTTCAATTTTACTTTCAATAATTTCTATTAAATTACTCAACACTCAATAAGTTATCGATTATTACATTGATTGAACTCAGCTCAGTGATATATTAACTCTATACATTTAATCTAGCAATGTTATTCAATTCTAGAGAGAGAGACGACAATAAGTTACTTACATAGAGTTTAAGCGGAAAATGGTTGACATGCTCAACATGGTTGTGAACATAGCTCTCTTCTTTGGAGACTTCTGCAGCACTGGAGAACTCTTACCTCTTTGCCAGGAGATGGACTGTTATGCCAGGGAGAGATTTACCAACTCTTCTCCATCTGGGAGACACTTTTGGCCCAAAACATGGCTTCTTATACTGAATCATTCTGGTGTTCTTACAACTTTCCAAATAGTGTACACATCTACTTGCAAGTAGGTCTGCCACTTAATTGGTTTATTTTTGCAATCTCATCATGATTCTCAAAACCAGAACCGCTTGATCATTGGTTACTGATAAAGTCAGTAAATTGGAGTTCACTCACATGTATCTCTCCACACAGTTTTTTAATGGATCTTACATGAAAGTCCCAACTTATCCCTTTTTTTATTAACTGTGTGTGAGTTAATGTAAACAACTCCCCTAGCTTTCTCTCTGCCACAGTGACATCAGTCTGTTGATAACGATCTCATTTGCAGTCTCTCTAATGAAGCTTTCATAACCATTCTCACGGCTGTGGTAGCATCAGCTCATAGATATGAACATCTATCTCGTTAACATATCTTTGGTATTTTCTTGGCATACTTTTCTCCTTGGTAAATCTTTCTTATATAACTTCCTTTATGCTTTTGCTAAGTGTTCACTACATTTCTTTTTATTGTATATATATATGTGTGTGTGGCACACATGTAACTTTTCATTATAGGCATAGTTTTATAATACTTGAATCATTTGAATTACGGTGAAATGCCCAAAATGCTGCTTCATTATAAACAAGTATTAGGAAAAATATTTATTGCTAAATAAAAATGTTATGTAGGGCTGGTTACTGAACTTGAAAAAAAATTAACCAAACAAGATAGAGATGGAAGTAGACATATCACTTGATCCAGCTAATAATCATATAGCAGATTAAGCCATCTTGACTTTACATGGAAAATAAAATCCCTAATACTTGTTTGTTTACTTTTTCATAAGATGGCATATGTGGGTTACTAGGATATAGAATGTGTTCTAAAACTTTATAAATTTTGCATGTAATAATAATAAAATGAGTAGTCAAAGATCGTGAAGACTTTTTGCTCTATCAATTTTTGTAGGTGATAATGTGTGCTAAGTACTTAAATGTTGGTAAAGTTATAGTTACTGCAAGAACTAGGTAAATACTAGGCTTGTTGAAGAAAGATGATGATGAATGAAAATAAAAATTCTCAGTTTTTGGCTATTTACCAGTTTTTGATTTTTTAGAGTTTCAGGATAGCTGAAAAGCGACATTATTCACTGGAGTTAAAGTGACTATGCCGGGTAACTCTTCATATCTTTGATGGCCTGTATGTGTATTGATTTTTTTACTCCTTCACTTCATACATAATATAGGGTTTGATTCCCAAAAAACACTGATTGTATAGTGTACAAACCATTCAGTATTCTTCATGCCATCCTTTTTTATCTAGAAATACAAAAACAAACTTGGCAATTGTTCAACCTATTCTTTGAGGTTTGACAACATGGCTTATTTCTTCCCTAGGACCATTCACACTAAACTAATAAATACACGACCTAAACAATCCTGTATATCTAACAATATTTTAGCCATAATAGGGCTAGTAAAAATTCAAAGTCGGTAAATTTTGTTAGATAGGTCAGTATATCAGCAAAAATTGGTGAAAATAAAAATTTCCTAGTTCATAAGGTCAGAAAAATCTCTCAGTCAGCCCCAATTTCAAAAGGTTGATAGGGTTACAGCAAACAGAAGTATGTTAAAGCCTGGCACAGACATCCCCTCACTGTTTGTCGTATGCCACGTCTTCTGCTTCAACCTTCCAAACTGTGTTCCTCTGCAATCAGAACATTTTGCATTGTGTTTTGTACTTTCCTGTACTTCTTCCTCTTTTCATGTTATTATTATAATACTGGTTCCATTTCTTTGCCTTGATGCCTGTAATGGTTTTTTCTTTCTCGTTGATAACTTGGGCTAGTATTCTACAACTTCTATATTCATTCTCTTCCCAGCATATTTCTTTTTATTTACTTTTCCCTTTACTCCTATTTCTAGATTAGTTTTTTGCCAATCTTCTTATTTCATATTCGTCTTTTTCTGTTCTTCTCACTTCCTAATGTCTCTATCATCGCTGTTCCTGTCAGTGACTATCACACATATATGAATCTGGGCATCCATCTATTCTCCTGCTGTTGGTTTCTCTTTCTGCCTTTAGTAATTTTTCTTTTCTCTACCTTTCATTTCTCCACAGCTTATTCCCATACCCTCCTGATTTCCTCCCTACTGTCCTATATATGGTCTTTCCAAAACATACTTATCTCCACAATGGCTATTACTCAACTACCAGGGTTTCTTTCCTTTCCATTGGTCAGAATTTTTCTCACTTGCTCCAGTCTTTTATTCCCCACTTATTGCCAATGACAATATCTATGTGACACTCTCACCTATGTCAGTGCTCCTCTGTCTAGGTACTGTGTATAAGCACCTCATTCAGATAATATTATCATTTTTCATGACAGAGCATTCATTAACAGGTTTCTCTGTACTATGGTCTTTGGAGATAGTTTGAGCATTTTTTATGTTACTTAGTTGATTTTCTGTTTGCAAGATGATATACGGCATGAATTCCCAGATTATTATGGAGACAAATCAGGTGTCTCCTATCCCAGCTCAGATGTCTAGTGTTGCTCAACAATCAGAGGGGGGGTCACCCTCAGTTGAGACTGTCAGTGATCTTATTCATAGAAAGATGGAGGGATATATTCAGTTTAGCAGTGTTTCTCTAGGGGCTCTGAGGCTGCATTTGAGGGCAATCCTAGACATTCTGGAGAGAATATAGATTTGCTTTTTCCTGCATCTTTCTTAATTCTGTTGGTTTCTTTGGGATCAGCCACCTCAGGCTCCTTTTTTCAGTTGGTACACAGAATAGATTCTGTCCATATCCAAGGGTTCCTCTGCTCTGTCAAAATGCTTCCAATAATGCTGGTGCCTATTGTATGCCTTTGGGGTCTGTGTGAGCTAGGATCTGAGAATTTCTAGGCGTGTGGAAAATCTTAACCACGAATCGATGGGTACTACAGGTCCTTGAATCAGGATTAGTCATTCAGTTCATATCTTAACCAACGTTATCCACCTAACCTGCAATGTTCCCGTCTCCTGCAGATACTCAGATTTTTGTAACTTAATTTTAGGGCTATCAGAGTTTGTTGGTC